CAAATGTTTAAGGGATGGTTGTTGTTGTTACTGTTGTTTCTGAATGGTAAAAAGGGCAAAACCTACTTCAAAATCTAACGACAGAAGCCGTTTTCATACTCAACACTCACACTGAATTTGCTGATGAGAGCACAATGATCATTATTTATGATTGTGTTCTTACTGAATTTGCTGTGATTATGTTAAAAACCTAAATATAATGTACGATGGTTCCTGAGTATAGCAGCACACGAAGTACTGAATGCAAATCAATTGGTGTTTGTTTGAATCAGTGGGGGAAAATTAATTAATCATGTATCAAACACTCTCTGTAGTCACAAACGCCATTTTGCCACGCATTTTGTTAACCCTTTAACTCTCAAGATGTGATTGTTAATTTTCCCATTTATCTGCTACACGTTTCCTTGAAAACTGGTTATGAGAAGTTGGTGTTCAATCAAGGGAACAACTTCTACCCAATAAATTTTATCAGTATATACTAAAACAGTGGATAGCATTGAAAGTGCGCTCTGATTGGCTAGTCAAACTCCAAATATCCTTTGCTATTTACCTCCGAGCAACTCGCGAAAAAATGGCGTGCCGTCTGCATCTGTGACAGACGAAGAAATGACTCAAATTAGTTTTTGGTGGTGTATATTATCTCACTGTTTTAGTATATACTAAAACAACTATTCACCTCAGTGTCGGTGGTTAGCAGTGGATATTTACCTCGCCGCTTTGCGGCTCGGTAAATATCCACCACTGACCACCTCCACTTCAGTGAATAGTTGTTAACTATTCTCACTACCTGTTAACTGGATAATTACAGGGAGAAGTTAGGTGTTAATCACTTTTGGGAGTTAAAGGGTTAATATTGTGTCTTTATAATATGTACTTATTGGTAGGATTGATTGAGTTTTCCCCAGAATCTGTTGTTTGAAGATGGATGTTTGAATTTATAATGGATGTCTGTATTAATAAGAAGGGGAATTTCATGGGTATTTTTCATTGGTTTTTGCTTGTGGAGGTCTGTGATATACACGGCTGCTCCTTGTTACCTTCCTTATGGGTTTTATTGCATTTGGATGTCATCATTGTTATCTGTTACTGAACAGACTCAAAATCTGTTCATTCGACCACACCATTCATTTTGTCAAATTAGATTTTTTAGTTGTATTAGGGTTGGTATGTAGTAAGTTTATTCATTCTTTACAATATTAAGACTGGCTGGCCCCATTCTGCTTTAATTAAGGCTAGTTTAAATGGGATTTGATTTTCATAAAAATACCAACTAGTTTTCACATTTGGTATGTGATATGGCTTTCAATTTTTTCTATCTGGGTTCTGGTTTCCCTTGTCTCTCTTGGACCTTCTCTTCTGGGTTTCTTTCTTTCTTTCTTTCTTATATTTTCTTTTGATAGATTGTTGTTCAAAATTTTGTCTGTGCTCTGAGTATTTAACCCTTGGTATGTGTGTGTGATTTGGTGGTCATATTTCATCATAAAAATATTTTTGTTTCAAATTGTTTTTTACTTGAAAGCTTCGGCTGCATTTGGAAATATATGTATGTTGTGATGATGGATTACATCAGCAAATTAAGCAAATACATATTTACATTGTATCAGACTGCAGGGTTCTTGTCATTTAGAGCTGGTAACCAGTTATTTTTACCAGCTGTTCAAGTAACTGTTACTGGCTATTTTACTGAGAACCCAGGGCATGAAATATTTACCAAAGTTATCCAACAATTTTTTCAAGTTTTTGGAAAAATTTAGTGGTCTCCCCCCAACTAGTGTTGTGAAGATATTTATCACATGTTACTGGTTTGAATTTACATATTATGTCGAAGAAATCCTGCCTTTTTTTAACCAAATTTGTCCCTCACAGTCATCTCGCAAAATGACCACTATATTTCTTTTCCCCTCTTCTTGTGGCCAAAGGAAAAGGCCCAGCATTTATAGAGAAACTTCAGAGTTGACAACTTGGCATCCATACAGGAATACCTGCCCTTAGATCCCCATGGGGGCCTATGTGACCCGCACACCCCCAGCATATGGGGGAAGGTAATAAAGCTACTTGCTATTTCTTATTTTTTAAACTTAGTGAGAAACCTGAGACTACAACCTAGTATCCTAGCAAAGTTGTTATTTTCTTTGTCAAAAATTATTAAAGGAAATTGAGACGTCTTTCTTTTAATACAAAATACTTTAATTGGCCTTATACATACAAAAAAATTATATCATGGCTTCTGTGCTGCATTTCTTTGACCTTTCTTTGATCTTTCTTGTTAAAGTTCGTGGGGAGTCATCTATTTTAGTAAATAATCAAAGAATTTCTTGTTTAGTGGCACAGACATTGATACAGGTATTTGACAAGATCATCATTGTGAAGCAGGTCTGCCCCAGGGATGAGTGGCCAGGGTTATAGAAAGTGATAATGGCACAAGAGTGCCCTACTATATTATACCTTAATATATCCCTTTTTAATCTATGGTTTAATCTCGTTGGGTAACACTTATTCCTCGACTACCCAGCCTTTGTTTATCTAACAAAAGAGAGCAATGAGAGTGATAACTTTCTCTAATTTCCATGAGCATTCTAGTCCAATATTTAAGCCCTTAAATATTGTTAAACTGCCTGACCTTGTCTTCCTTAATATTGCAGCCTTTATGTCTAAATTTTACAATAGAGTTCTACCATCTGTGTTTGATACTTTTTGCACTGAAGTAAATAAAAAACATAACTACAATACTAGAAGTGCCTTGAACTTGTCCTATTCTTTACCTAAAGTAAGAACAAACTATGCAATATTTAATTTAAGGTTTAATGGCCCCAAAGTATGGAACTCAATAAGTGAAAATTTGAAATCCTAATCAATCTCAAACTTCAAGGAGTCAGTAAAATGCGATCCAGTCAAAGACTATTAGCTACGTAATATGTATACTTATTAGCAACTTATATACTTTTTAGCAACTCATGTACTTATTAGCAGTGTATTATTTTCCAATTTACTGTAATCTAGTCTTCTGTTAATTTTTGTAACCTTTTTTAAGTACTTCTTTACTTTGTAGTCTATAATTATATAGCTGTTACTAGTTGCCGTAGACATTGTGCTCTTCTTATATTAATGTTTAGTATTCATAAATAACTTGAACTATTCTAGACTTCCTTCATATCTTATAAATTCCGTTTCTTTTTTCTTGTGTGTGTGTGTGCATTTGTACTTCAATCTTCTTGCTGACCTTATTTTAATTTTATTTAATGCTGATGTTAACTAGCTGCCTGACTCCGCTAGCCCCTATGGTTATTGCAGGCTGCTAGTACTCCAATTTCATTTCTAATAATTTCCTTCAATTTTGTAACTTTTTTGCTTAGAGCAAGTATGAATGCGAGTACAAATAAAGATTATCCGTTATCCGGTGCTTGGGTTAGTGCGTTGTTGGGTCAAAAACATGGTTACCATGTCATTTGTGAATAGTCTTCAGTTTGGTTTTTGACCAAAAGTTGAATCAGGGAGCCATGTGAACTTAAACAGTGCAATATAACTGCCTCCCGGTTAGCTCNGGGATGGGTGGGTTTACTGGGTCCGCCGTAATTGGCGCAAGTTGTTGCGGTGCCCCTGCCGGTTGGCAAAGCAATTAAATCAATATTTATTTAGACATCACGTATATCTCACCTCTGTCTGTGATAATAGGAAGTCATCAATTATTTTCCTGATGTAAATAGAATCAGAAAGATGAAGAGTTTTGAGCTTAGTAAAGAAACTGAGAAAAATGTTTTTCGTTTTGTTACAGGTGTAGGATTAAGAAAAAATTCTGAGTTCCTATGAGGAACTGAACCTCAGACCTTCAAACTCAGTGCTCCAATACTCTACCACTGAGCCACAGACTCTGTTGTGAGCAAGGCCCATTACAAAGTTCATATTTGACAGGCATCCTGCAAACTGTTAGGATTTGATGTTGCAAATTTGTTTCTAGACATAAGTTGAAATAAAATTAAAACTTTAAAATTAGTGAGATATAATTCCTCACTAGTTGATGGCCCAATGTAGATGAAGGAGTTGTGTTACATTCATCAGAGTATACCAGTGAGTTAGTAGAAAGAATATTGAGTTGCTATGGATAGTTCATGGGGTACATTGATGCTGCTCTAACAATTTTATGTAATCACTTTTCTTGCATCATGCAGATTGTACAGATCCCTTAGAGATAAAGTAGACCTTCAAGGGCCAATTATTGAATTTTTTTCATTTTCCTCATGTCAAACTAAGCATTGCCATTTCAAGTACATGTATGTGCAGAATACATCACAAAATGCCGTTTAATTTCCTTCACTCCAACTCTCTTACCTCACCTTAGTTGTCTTTCACTGTCATTTGGCTGTAATTGGGGAATGAAACAAGGAATTAGATCTACATACTGGATTATAATCTAAGTTATTATCTGAGTGCATAATATGGTTTTGTGAAATGAATAACTTTTTCCTTTGGTTATACGTATTCCTCTGCTTAGTTGTTTAATTCTCTCTTAAATTGTTTTTTTTTTTTGGTACAGCATCTGTACAAAATAAAAAGTAATTGTATATGATTTAAAAATAAGGGTGTAGTTTCCATGCCAAGTGAGGATGGTAAGGATGTTGCTCCATTCAGTTTGTTACATACATTGTTCAGAACCTCGGTGACTTTTGATTACCGGTATCCTTTCCTTGTGGTGGCTTACAATTTTTAGGACAAAAACTTTTACTGTATTTTTAAATAAATCAACTCGCTCTAAATATCAACTAGCTTATGTCAGTGAGTCAACTCACTTCCAAGAACAGCAAACACAGAGGGTTCTTGGATATATGGCTATTTTTGTCTTCAGAGTAGCCTAGTGGTTATTTGAAGTGCAATTGAATAAGCTCTAGTCAGATTATGTCATGATAAGTTTTGATAAGTTGATGGTAGTTTCATTCAATTACCCCTTGTTTGATTTAATGTACAGATATGATATGGTTGTTACAGTTTTTGATGTTGTCTTACAGTTGTTCCCTCAAGATCATCAATTGGGTCATGGGAAGTTATCCACTGCACTAGCCTAGATGAATATATAACATGGAGGACACAGTAAGTACAATTGCCTTGTACATTATTTTAGAAATTGAAACTCTTTGATTTATTAGTTTACACCTTCAGCTTTCTTATAACTACACTTAAGCTAGACTAAGCAGGAACATATTTACCTTGCAAATACAAGCATTTTCTAAAAATGTGGTATGTTTATGTCCAAAGTGAAATTCTATGACAGTGTTAAAAGCTGTAATATTAGATTTGGTGGTAATCTGTGTTGAATGAAAGAACTTTTGCAAAAGCATGTTATGATTGCTATGAGTCCTCTCCATGAATGTGAACTCTCTGTACTTGAAAAAATCAAAATTCAGGTGTGGACCTTCCTCCTTGCCCTGTGCTTGATGATAAAATTATGTTCTATAAATAAACAATGCCATTTGGCATGGAGATATATTCCAATGTTTGTTTTTGGACTCAGTTTGTTCCCAAAGGCAAAATAATTTGTAAGAGTGAAGCTTAAAAGACTGTGTTGTCAATGACAATTTCAATGAGGACTTTCATTCTTTTGAGTCTAAGGTTTCAGACTTAGGAATATCATTCGATTTTCACAGGTTTAGTGTGGATACCTACTGTCACATTATGCATCTAGGCCAATCACGCACAAAGATCAATATTAGCAAGTAAATAGTTATTTTTTGGTGAATGTACATGTCAGGAGATAATAGCTGCAGGGTGTAAGATGTTATTGTGGGGATTTCTGAGGGCTCACAGATAGTGTGCTCAACTCTGGGTTTAGAAGTGTGAATTTTAGCACTGACTGGGTCACGGTGTATTGGTGTCCAGGGTAAGACATTTCATTAGTGCATGCAGCTATCCAGGTGTGTCTAAAAAGTCGTTTACACTCACAACTTTTAATAATGTGGCAAACAGGACCAGTGGTGGGAACACATAATGGCAACTAGGGGCTGATGTTTTAGAATAAACACATTTTGTATTGGTAAAACATGATTTTTAGTGCAGTTTGGTGTAAATAAGCACAGTAACATTGCATGAACCCATAGGGCAAGTGAGAGTAATAAGTTACGGAAAAAAATCACAGAACATCACGACTGACAAAATTTTGACAACGCGCATGCTACTTGTAAATTGCACTTGTTTATAACTTTGTACTCATTGTACAACTTTGTTCTTGTGTTGCATGAAAAATGCACTTGTGTTCAGAAGTGCATAATTTTTTAATGTAAATCATCACACGACTAACTTGACAAGAGATGGGTGGCAGTCAGGAGAAGAATTAAGAGAATTCTGTTAGGGTGTGAAAAATTAAAGTGCTGATACAACCACAAGACATACATTGTAAGCACATTATTTGTATTGCTTTGAGGAGTTTAGTGCTTTTTGGTGGGATGAATAGACATCAAGGAGTAAGTAACGACAGTCCTGTTATGCAGTTCTAAAAATCCTGAGTTATTGTTAATGCGACTCTCACAGAATTGACATTGGAACAGAGTTACTTGGCACTTGCTGACTAGAGACACGTTCTTGTGCACTGTCAATTTTTCTGCAGTTTCACTTATTTAAAGATGACCATTTCTTCGTGATGTCAGGTGGTACAATAACTCTTAAAATGTATTTGTGAACATAAAGCTCGATCTCTATTTCCATGCGCATATATGCGAGCAACCAAGTGGATTTCAAGTAGCTACTTGTATACGTTTGAATAGGAAATCACATATACGTGTGAATAGAATCACATATTAACTTACGGATTTGGTGGTCCGTTCTGATTTCCCTGAAATGAAAAGAGGACAACAAAATTGGTTAATATGAGTAGATTGGTTCATAAAAAAGGTTGTTGAAATTCACGATCGTATCACAGTTGCACAGTATATATTTTAATTCGAACATTTAATTTTCTTGGGCTTCTTTGCACACAGGTAGAATTGTCTTTCGTCCTAGTTTGACTATTATGAAATGCTGAGACAGGCAATAGTGTTTCCTGTTGAGTTTTTGACTTGAGTCGCGAGAAAAGAGACTGAACACTAATCTTGATCGATGTCAAGAACAATGTCGGAGTCTTATAACAACACACACGCGAGCACAGTTGAGCTTGAGTTTAGAAACAAATACTGGTGAACTAAGAATGATATGCTACTCTTCATTTAGGACAGGCATAGTTGCAGTGACGCTACTTTTTGTGGTGTGCACATATGTGATTTGGTTGCTTAAATGTGAATTGACTACTCACCCTTTGGTCTTGATTCATGTCTTTGTTCCTGGCGAAAATTACGAGACACTCGTTGTAAAAGGAGATGAGTTTGTTGGAATTTGTTTTGTTGAGGCAATTGGTTTGAAGCGCCATTTAGAAACGCCATATTGTCTTTTGAGATGTTAAAAGATCCTTGCGATTATCGATGATAGATTAAAAGGTACTTTTCCTAATTAAATCGGCATGTACGATCGGTGGGTGTTCTTTACGGTGCAATCACATCTACAAGTAGCATTTTCTCCTTTTAAACTAAATAGGCGATCAACACTTTAGATTCAGTAAAAGTGTGCAATAGAATGCGCCATCAATGTCTGCAAGTTGAAAACTGTGTCCGATGGTGTAACACCCAACGCATTATAGAGGATAAAAAGTAGTAAAGAGCCAATTCTTTTTGGGCAACTCAGCCTCTTGTGTATGTTCAAAGCATTACTTACCTCCTGTTCTGCCCAACAAAATGGCGAAACCTCCTCGATGAATGGGCTTTCTAGGTACTCCCTATGGCAAGGTTAGTTGTCAGTCATCAGTTGTCAGTCATCAGTGTCTTCAGTGTCTACGGGTCACATAGCTATTGGTCCAATTATCCACCTTCCTTTGATTCCCTCAATCGTCAGTACCCCCAATTTTTTTGGACGACTTTCGTGACATTCTTGTTTCGCGGGAAGAACATCACGTGAAGTTTGAAGTCACGCGAAGTTTGAAGTCACGTGAAGTTTGAAGTCACGCCAAGTTTGCCCCTCTGGCGTCCCATTATAATGTTGGTCTAAGCAACTTGGACCATGTTTTTTTTTTTTCACTTATTTTTCCGGCCATTGTGCACAGGGTAACCGCCTTTGGTCGGTTTGGTGGGCTACAGGAATCTGTCATGGCATTGATCACAGCCATCCTAGAAGGCTCCAGACGCTGGCTAGAGTACCTGGGCGATAGAAATTAATTAGGGTTAGCATACCACTCTGTTGGCTTTGATCAGCAATCATAGGCCTACGTAACTATGCAATACACTTACATCAGTAAGTGTACTCAACACCAATATCTAAAATTCGAGTGCAAACCTGTCTGACTCACCAAATGCAAACGGAAATCTTGTTTTGTGTTCCCAAGCACGCATTCTTGATTTTTCGTTCGTAGCAAAACTCAGCAGCACTAAAATGAGAGGATTTCTTCCGATCATTCGATGTTAAAGTGCGGAAAAAGTGGTTTCATTATTTGTCAGATTGCATCTGAAATCTAATTGGTGACGCTTGCTCTATGCGATACTGTATTCAGTGGTAATGGACAAATCCCTGTGATCTACTTGCGCATTGAAACGATTTCTGTCTGTCCAGAGACCAGCCTTGAAGGAAACAGAATGAAGCTTGTTTATGGCAGTTTACTTTTCCGTGTTCGATTTTACCTCTAGCCTAGTTCCTGGTGGCTAACCGTCATGTTTGACTCAGTAAACGGAAATCGTTGATTACATGGCGTTAAAATTTTTATTCAGGTTGTTGTGAGATATTGAAATTAGCTAGCTGTTATACCTTCGGTAAGAGTAACGGTTGAGATATACGTTTCTATCCAGGACTCCAAGTTTCACTTCTTCTCAAAGTGGCTATTCGGTGATTTAAATAACTAAAAAATTTCGCTGGAGATAAAAGTTTAGTGGTACAAAGTGGAGATACTTTGTGCAATTTTATATGATACACCAAGCCGATAACCACACCGCTTGGGGGCGTGTATTTGTTTTTTTGAGGTTCACGCGACAACTCAAGGCGTACTACTTCGGCAACATAAAGGAAAGAGGCAAAATTTTGGAGAAGAAAACGACGACGAAACATGAGTAATATTTCACATAAATGTTTATCTCCTTTCAATCCAGGACCATAAAACTTCGTTATGAAAACGATACAACTTGCTATATGGCCGCCCAACGAAGGTCGCCAAATTGGTATCTTACATGGCAGATTTAGTGGCCAAAGTTTTTAGTAGTCGCCATGATGACAAAATGGTCGCTGTTTCGCGGGTGCTGCTATCCATGAAGTCAGGACTCCAAGCTGCTACCTTTTTGAGCGCAATCGCGACTAAGTCTGCGACCACTGTTCGCGGTGTTGTAACAAGTGGTAACGTTTTTATAAGCGAGTTTTTATGGTGTAAGGTCAAAGCGAGTGAAACATTTCCATGAAATACAACTCGTATTGTGCTACTTTCGTTCTTAAATCCTCCTTCTCCCTATTTTCCTGAGTATTAGCTCTATGATTTCACATGAATCATCATAAAAGGAATACTTTTAGCTCCAAAAATAAAGGGTGAGGTCAGCGGTTTTTTGCGTCATGTAATATTTCGTTTTAGTATAATTTCAGAGCCGAGCAAAGAGTTTCCAGCAATCTGATTGGTCGAGCGGTTCCTTATATGACGCTATATAAACCGCTCCACGCGGTTTATATAAAATGTTAAAATAAAATGTTAATGAATGTTACCAAAATGTTATGATTTTAGAAATTTCTCTGTAGTTCAGCTCTGAAATTATACTAAAACAATTATTCGCCTCAGGTTCGGTGAATATTGTCGAATAATCCCCTCGACTTCCTCTCGGGGATTATGCGACGATATTCACCTCGCC